GAGCCCTCACCTGAGGGGAAGCTGAAGCCGCAACCGAAGCCTTCAATGCTGCTTGTCTGGCTTTTCTCAAGCAGCTGTTGCATGGACACTTCATAGCTTCTGCCCGCAACTCATGAACCTTTTCTGGAATCAACAGCGGTGAAGGTTCCTTCTTCAAGAGGGAAGGAAGTGGTCCTTGGACTCTGTGCCTTGCAAATTGAAGAACTTCGACTGCCATGGCCTTGGACTTCGATTCTGGACTCTGACTCTGAACAGCCGCCATTGAGCTCAGTGCGTAGTGTGGATCAGGCCCTTCGATACCGAACCATCCAGCAACTAGATTTGAGTTGAGCACAAATGGCTGCAAGTAGGTTCTTTCAGGCTTACAACAGCTTGTTGCTTGCAACTTACAGCTTACAGTAATAGGCCATTGGAAGGCTTGTGGCTTGCAGGCTGGAGGCTGGCTTACGACTTACATCACGAGTCTTACAGCTTCAGTTACAGTTACAGTTACCAAGTAGACTCAGACTCAGAATGAGCCTGGGAGTCTGAAAACCAAAATGATAAAATGAAACTGAAACTGAAACACCGAAACTGCCAGCCGGCCTGGGTCTCGAAATCTTGAGCCAGATTGCAGAATCCAGGTCAAACCGCACCATCCAGTAGCCGCCATGCTTCCACTGCTGATCCCGCATTGAATCCATGAACCTTGCGAGCGAAACACACATTCCAAAAAAATCGATTGCATCAAGTGTCAATCAGACATGACAAGTCTGAGATCTAGTCACTAGTCTCTAGTGTCACTAGTCTAGAGTCTAGAGATGTCTAGAGTCAAGTCTAGTCTAGTCTAGTCTAGTTGTCTAGTCGAGTCTAGAGTCTAGAGTCAATCGAGTCCAGTCGAGTCTAGTCTAGTCTAGTCACTAGTCACTAGTCCTAGAGTCCACCGTTTCTGGAGCCCAGTCAGTCAGTCAGTCAGATATAGATTTCAAAACAAATAAAAAAATACAATAAATAAATATATTCCTCTCATTTCCTCTCCCATGTTTAGAGTCTGAGTCTATAAGTGACCCAGTGAAGACGACTTCTGAATACGCAACAAAGAAGCTTATCGAAGGGCGATCTTGGATCTACAGTGCTTGACCTCATCGCAAATCCTTTGACCTGCTCGGTGATTCCTGTGTGTGGTTCGTATGTCGCGTACAACTGAACCACTGTGTCCATAGTTGTTGAGTTCATGGAGTGATTGGCTACGCTTCCATCAGCAAATCTTTTGGTTCTGGCAGCGCTGTATGGATTGCAAGGTGAGCCAGTCACCATCAAAGATATATTACCAATGCTACCAGTGAGAGAGCAATGGCAATGTCCATCATCTTGAGCGTCATGCAAAGTGCACACTGGCTGTGGCTCTGATTGCAGCAGGTCTTCAACTGTTTCCTGGGCTGCAGCAAGTTTGTGTTATAGGGCGGCTTCTGGGCCAGCAGGAGCCAGAACAGTCAGTTAGTTAGTTAGTTAGTTACTTATACTTATACTTAGTTACTTAGACTTAATTTTGAAGACCTAGTTACCTAGTTACTTCTTGCTACACAGTTACACCTACTGCCAGCCCTACCGACCTACCCCCTATCTCTACTCTCCACCCGCTACCCTGGCCGCCCTGGTCAAGAACAAGACAGTGACATGCAATAGTTAATTGCCACAGTGCGCCTTCAATATGATGTCAAACAAGCATGCTTTTCAGAAATCAGACCAAAGTGTCAAACAGGTGGGTGATGGTTTGATGGTTGTTCAGCATGATCACCTCTCGGTAGGTTGCGTTCTTCTCCGCAGCAGCGACACACCGAAACGGTATGCCAAGAGCCTGAGTGAATGAGTCAGTGAGTGAGTGGGTGAGTGAGTGGCTGCCATGAGCGCTATGTACCCAATAGCCACTCACTAGCCTAGCCGCTAGCTAGCAGCTAGCAGAGGCCTAGGCCCTAGGCCAAGGAAAAGTCAAAGTCAGAGTCAAAGTCAAAGTTAAAGTCAAATCAGCCAGCTAACTGGTGAACTAAGTTCAGTTAAGTCAAGTCAAGTACCGTTGGTGTCGAGTCTAGTCAAGTCGCCTAGTCTAGTCACTAGTCTCCTGCATCACCAGTCTTAGTCTTAGTCTTAGTCACAGTCTTAGTCTTAGTTCACTGCAGGACTGGGGAATCAATCATTAGTTTTAGTGAAAGTCTACCATTATTACTACTTACTCATCCTCACTCCTCCTCCTCCTCGTTCCCCGGTACCCGTACCCCGTTACCTTGTTTGTTGCTAGCAAGAAGCTTTCAAGACCTCACCCTCTGCGAAGATTCCAGAGCATGCGCTCAAAAGAGTACGGGGTTCCAAGGACTCTGACTCTGTGTCTGGCGCCCTGTGGGCAACATGCTTCTTGATCAGCGGTGCCCACCAACTTGTCGTCCTGGGCTGCGGATAGATTATTGATATAATTACAGTGTTTAAGTTTAATTATGATTCATTATTCATTGATTATTGATTCATGGACGCAACAATAAATTTGTCTGAGTCGAAGTCTAAGTCAAGAGTCTAAGTCTATGTCTATGTCGTTTGTGTCATGTCGAGCCTACCTCTAATGAATAAATCCAACTTAAATGAGTCTAATGAAACAATATTGCATTAAATAAAAAACCCAGTTTAAAAGGGACAAGTCTCCTCACGAAACTGCTTGGTGGGGAACACGAGTCACTGCTGCCATCATCACCATCTGCAGTGGACTCGTTCAACACCAGTGCAGCTGCCATGTCTCTGCTGGCAGCTTCTGTGGTCGGCTGCGACGCAAGCAAAAGGTCTGCCATGGCAGAGATGTCTTCAGTGTCCATTGCCATTGCCGCTGCCGTGGTGACCATGTCACATGTCACATATCCGTGTCCATGGTCCATCTCTTGTCATATCATATCATATCACACATTAATAGATGGTCGATCAACCACTTTTACTTCCAAGGTGACCGTCACCGACCAATGACTCTGACACTGATCCGATAAAATATGTGTGTGCAGAGTTGGCAGCTGCTGTGCTGACTGCTGCTGACCTGTATGATGGCAGGGCTGCAAGTGGCGCAAGCTCAATGGATAGATAGATAGAGACAAAGGGAATGTGACAGAGAGAGTGACAGAGTCGAGTGTTGCGGTGTGTTATGGTTACTTAACAAACTAATACTGTTACTGTTACTAAAACAAAGAGTAGAGTATGAATATCACATAGGACATATGCTCATATGATACATATTTCATATGAAGTCAAGAAGCCTGTTCAAGTCCCAAGTTCAAGTCCCATCACTGCCATTTCCCAATTCTTCGCTCCTAATGAGAACCCGTCTTTAGGGCCTAAGCCCAAGCCTAAGCCTTAGGGCCTAAGGCCAAAGGCTTAAGGGCCCTCAGGCCCCCAATACAAGATGCAAACAATGGCAGGCATGTGGCATTGAATAACTGTAGAATACAACACACTCTGTAGATATGCGTTTGTACAAAGCTCATATGTGCATATGCATTCCTACATATGCATTTGTGAAAAATGAACTTGCATTTGACATCAACATAAGTGGGCAACTGCCTGTGGCTAACAAGCAATCATAACCAGAAACTTCGTGCTCACCCCAAAGCCATGCGTAACAGGATGGTCCCTGGAGGTCCCGACGGACGGCCCCGAGACTGCACCGGCCTCTTCTTTTCACGCTTGGCCTGTCGGCCTTCAGCGGCCTGGAGACGACGCACGACGAGAGAACGGGGGCCCTGGCTGTTTCGGCCCGGAACTGGAACTGGGCGACGTCGAAGCATCTCTGAGATTGGTCAAAGAACCCACGCCAGGTACAAGTAGGAACAAGGACGCTACGAACGGGGCTCCTGGCCATACTACTAGGAACAAGGACGCTACGAACAGAGCAAAGGGCATCGCTACGAACGGAACAAGAACGCTACGAACGGGGAAACGTCTGCCTATGCTCATTGATTCGCTACGAACGGTCGGTCAGAGACAGCTGGGCCTCGATGGACTTCTCATCGCCCAATTCCCTTTCCAACTTCAGCCTCATCGACTCATCCATGTTCAATTTGCAACAAAGAACCTCCACACGTTTGCTTGGGTGGAAGAAGACGAAAACCAATGAAAACCAGGCGGAGCGAAAATGTTTATATAGTGCTACCGTACTACCCCTACAGGCCCTACTTCCGAGAAAAAGCTGCAGTGAGGATCATTAGGACACCGGACAAGTGTTCCAGGAGCATTGCTCGCTCTTCGTTGCGGTCTTCAACCTCAGTCAGCAGGTAGCCGAACTTGTTGAAGAACACCAACTCATCAGCACACAGCGGTCTTCCCCAGCTCAAACGGCATCGGTGAACAACTTTTGAGGCTCGGTGAAACCGTGGCGTTCCTGTTGAGACACCTCGCAAGCAGTTCAATGATATGAGTTTGTATTGAGATGTTTAAAAGACCCCCATTGTGAAGAGGACATATCGACACAAAACGAAGACCATTGGAACAACCCGCTCGGCCTCGCTCCGCTCCGCTTCGCGCTTCGCGCTTCGCGCTCCGCTTCGCGCGGCGGAGCGGCCTTGAAATGCTTCTGGCCTTCTTCCAAGGCTTCTCTGGCTTTCTCCACCGATTGGCACGTCACTGCCTGGAACGAGGTCACAAGCGAGAGTCTTTGGGGCGGGTTCTTCACGTCCCCGAGCTGTGTTGGGAGATCGAGAGACTCGAGTTTGGCCGGCGGGCGAACTGAGAGGAAACACGAGGAAACACATATCGCTCTCGATTGGAAAGCCAGGTTGGGCACTTCATTGCATTGAGAGTCAAATAGTCCACTGCCAATCATTTGTGCATTTGTGCATGAAGGATTTGTGAAGACATTGGTGTGTTCCAGTGGATTGGAGGCCGGTGAGGTACAACTCTTGCAGAAAATACCATGCGGTCCCCTTCTTTCACTCTGTAAACACAAGCAGGTGTTGTGGCCAAAAGTGACATATTGACGATTGAAAATTACATAGTCACTGGGCCAGGACACCAAATGTGAATCCGATCAATCCCCTTTGGCAAACCCATTGCTGTCGAAACCATAAGCATGCAGCATGTCCATCATCTGTTTTGTAGCGCTCGAAGTCAAGAAATTGGAAAGCCTCAAAGTCACTGTAGGCGATATAGACCCGGACATGGTGTGACTTGCTGAGAAGCTGCTGCCAGACCTGCAGGCAGGAGCTTGACAAGACTCCGGCTGGTTCCTCTACTTAACTGCAACTTCACGTAGTTTCTCACCATTTCTCACCTAGGGTGATGTTCGATTTGTTTCAAGAACCCCATCTTGGCCTCCAGCATTTCGTCTTGCACGATTTCAAGAGTGTTTGTTCTCACATGTTGTACGAAGCAGCGTGATTTGCTTGATTTGATTTGCTCGATTTGCTCAAGTGATTGCCTTCACCCTGGCAGGGGCCGCAGGACCCGCCTTTCGGGCATTGTCAAGCTGCTCTTGGCTCACCTGAGAAGCATTGCTCCGACATGCAGAAACAAATGTGTCTGTGCATTTGTAAAAAAGGACCAAAGGACGCTGCGAACGTGTGAAACTGTCAGTTGTCACAGATCACACGATTTTGCACACCAGCGGGAAGCTGCAAGGCCAAGCATGGCCCCTCTACTGGTTCATCCACATCACAAACCTGAATCAACACTTTGAGGCCGTCTTCTTCGGACAAGCTTCGCATCTGGGCAGCAATTTCTTCTGCTTGGCCGTCACCCCAAGTCAAACACAGGCGCTTCTGTGCGCGCTCCTGGAGCTCGTCTTCCTCCGAGTTTGGCATCTCTGAAAGCATCTCAGCCTGCCATGCATCACTGGCTCCACGTAAGAGTCGGCCTAAGAGTCCCACTTTTTTGGTCTCGCGCAGCAGCATCTGCAACTCTTGGCGCAAGCGTCGGCGAATACTAGACATCTGTTCCTTGGCCTCTGGAGATTGAAAAGCAAAACGTTGCTCCGTTGGTCCGAAGGACAAATGAGTTGCCACGGCATGTATCGTAGCCTCTGAAGTCAGAAGGGTGAAGAACTCTGCATCAAAAGGCAATCCAATCGCTTCAGGGATCTTCTCAGTAGCCTCACTGGCCTTTCCCCGTGTCACAAATAGCACCTCAGAAGAGGCCTGGAGGGCGGTCTCATGAGGCATCGCTCGGATGCGGACCACCGGGCCGTCTCTGCTATGAAGTTCGAGCGTCACTTGTGGAAGACCCTCACCAGCCATCGCGGTACAAATGCCTGCGCGCAGCAGGACATCTGTGACTTTGGGCCACGAACTCAGGGCCGACACTTCGGGCAACGGAACTGCCTGCTGTTCTGCTTCGCAGTCCTGGAGCTGCCAGACCACCTTGATTCCCCCAAAAATTCCAAACCGCAATTGAAAGGACTTGAAATGGTCTAAGCGGATCACCTATCTGATACTGACAAAAATTCGCTCCTCCAAGTGTGTGGCCAGGTCCTGGCGCGTGACCCAGCAGTGCAGAGTGTCGCCCTCAAGTCTTCTCGCTTGGGCCGCGCAGCGAAGCAGGAGCTCGGCCACCTGCGCCAATGCCAAATCGCCCATCGCACAGCCTTGCCTGGGGAGGGTCATCGAAGCGATTTATTTGGTCCACGGCGATGCGCTTTCACGCACGAATCTTCAAGAACCCCACCTGGAGTCTGGATGTTCACGACGTCACCGGATATATAAGCAGAGAAACAGATGGCACAGCTTAAGTTTTAGCTCTAGGGCGCTGTGTCTTTGAGGCTTTAAAATCTTTAAAGACGGGCGACAAATCAGCAAGCCATCGGTGATGTCGGTTACTCTGCCCGAGTGAGACTGCATTATTGACATCCTGTATGTTTGCCCCTGTGGAGACCCACCGAGACAGACCGACCGAGACAGACAGACTGAGACAGACGGACCGAGACAGACGGACCGAGACATTCAGACGGACCAAGACAGACAAACGCACAGTATCCGTGCGGGCGGCTTCGACCGCGAAGCGGTGTAAATAGAGGTCACTCAAGTTGTATACACACACAGACATATATATATATATATACTTGAGAAGGGAGGGGACGAAACCCGCCCTCTGGGTTAGGGCAAGCCTGGCGTTTGTTCGCTGCTTGTTGTTCATGTCCTGTAGATGGACTCAAAGACTTGGCGTGCAAGATGAGTGACTGGGTAACATTGGGCAAAGAGTACTTTCATGGAGTCCAGCAACGAGGCCTCTTGATCGTCAAAAAAGGGCACCCCCTAGCAAGTCAACGCTTGCCCGCTGCAATCTGCTCTCTCTCATGCCCTCAACAGATGGCATCATGCACCCCATATGGAGTGCCCTTTTGAGTCCGGCAACTAGACCTTTCCACGGATAAAAAAGGGCACCCCCAAGCAACTCAGAACCTACATACATACATACATACCTACCTACATACATACAGTCCAATCCAATCCATTCCATTCCATTCCATTAACTTACATTACATTACGTTACATTGCATTACATTACACAACACAACACAACACAACATTACATAACATACATACATTACCTTTACGTTTACGTTTACGCTTACGTTTACGTTACGTTACATTACATTACATTACCAGACAGACAGACAGGCAGGCAGGCAGACCAGACCAGACCAGACCAGACCAGACCAGACCAGACCAGACCAG